ATCTCACACAGAGCACTAAGATGATCCCTAAAGCCATGTTGCCACGCTGAGACCTGCCCTGCATTCTCTTGCTAGTACATGGCCATCAGGCCTGGACAAGATCCAGGGCCGGATCTGTGGGAGCCATGCCTGACATTTCACTGAGCAGGACATGCGCTGGGTTGAGCCGGGACTCCTGGGGGCAGTGTTACAGACCTGGACATGCCCTGCAGTGAGCTTTAGCACAGACCCCACAGCTCTCTGGTCTTCCCCAGCCACTCTTTCTGCCACAAAAAGTGCAAATCTATAAGCAGAGGTGGATAGAAAAAATTACTGCATCATCTGTGGGGGAATGAGTTAACTGACCACACTATCTAATGTTGTTTGGATTACATAATGCATTTGTTTGGGTGCTTTTAAATGTCTGTGATGTGGTATTTTTTAATGTGGGGAAATATACTAAAAAAAAAAAAAAAAGGAAATTAATCATCCCAGTAGCACACCACCAAACTGCTATTTTGTAAAAGTGAACACAGGTTGACCAGAGTTCTTTGGGAATATTAGTTGCAATTGTCAGAGATCAATAAAAAAATCCAGAAATTTGGCATCAATTTAAGCAAACAAAGAGGCTCTATGAAGATTTTTCCTAATATTTTAGTAGCAGGGAATACGTAAAGTGTAAAAAGTTTTGCCTAAAAGGTGGCAAATGCTACCTTGCTTTGACTGCATTGATTTCAACAGGAGTGTGGTGAGCTTACTTTTCACGTGATTTCTCAGTCATTTGGAACTTGCCTATTCAGATGCTTTGCCCATTTTTCTATTAGGCTGTTCATCTTTTGCTTATTAATTTGAATTCGTTGTTAATAAAGTTTAAAAATTAGATCGTTGCTGTGATGTATAGTGAATATATTTTCCAAGTGAGCCATTTATCTTCTCCTTCATAGTAACATTTGTCATGAAGTGGCTTTAAATGTTTGTGTTGGGGCGCCTGGGTGGCTCAGTCGGTTAAGCATCTGCCTTCGGCTCAGGTCATGATCTCAGGGTCCTGGGAGCAAGTCCTGCATTGGGCTCCCTGCTCAGTGGGGAGTCTGCTTCTCCCTCTTCCTCTCCCTCTGTGTGCTCTCTCTCTAATAAATAAATAAAATCTTTTAAAAAAATGTTTGTGTTGACAATTGATCTTCTTCCTCTCATGGCCCCTAGGTTTTATATCCTGCTTAGAAAAGCCTTTCTCACACCAGAATGATGGATGAATTCATCTATATTTCCTTCTATAACTTCTGTACTGTTATTTTTAATATTTTATTCTTCGATCTAGCAAATTTATCTTTTATAAGGAAAACTAGCCCCCCCAGCACAAAAGCATCTATTTAATTATCTCTTTTCCCTCTGATCTGCAAAACCACCAAACAAAATATCCCAAATCCACGTGTCTGTTTCTGACTTGCTCTTCTGTTCTACCGCTTTCTCTGTGATTGTGGATTGGGTACATATTTGTATATCTTTTAATAACCCACAAGGCCATCCTTTTTCCTTGTCTGTTCTAGAATTTTCTTGGCTACTCCAGCTGTAAAAAATGTTAAACCATTCACTCTACAATCACGGGAAATGCTCAAATTAAACAGATCCTAAGGCTTGGAAAAATAATGGTAGTTTTTGGGGGGTTTTTTTTGTGTTGAATTTTTAACACTAACAACTGCTTACATCCTACCCACCAAGAGGTATTAGGAGAACACCTCCATTGACAACTGGCACAAAGTCATCTATAATGCCAGATTATGCTACCAAAATTGGTTCCAGGTGCAGGGAAACTGGAGCAGACAGCAGACGGGCTAGAGAAGTTTCTACCATGTGGCTGAGCTCCCCTGCTCCTGTAAGCGCATCATAGAGGGCATCCTTGGGCGGGAATTTTAAAACCAAGGCAGCACAATGAAAAACAATATGGCATTTCTTCAAAATATTACAAATAGAATTATCATAGGACCAGCAATTCCACATCTGGGTACGTACCCCGAAGAGCAGAAGGCAAGAACCCAAAGACTTATTTGTATGCCTACTTTCGTAGCAGCCCTGTGGACTACAGTCAGAAAGGGGAAGCAACCCAAATGCCCCTCAGTGGATGAATGGATGAATGGATAAATGAAATGTGCTATATCCACACGATGAATGTCATTCAACTTTAAAAAAAGAAGGGGGGCGCCTGGGTGGCTCAGTTGGTTAAGCGACTGCCTTCGGCTCAGGTCATGATCCTGGAGTCCTGGGATCGAGTCCCACGTTGGGCTCCCTGCTCAGCAGGGAGTCTGCTTCTCCCTCTGACCCTCCCCTCTCTCATTCTCGCTCATAAATAAATAAATCTTTTAAAAAATAAAATAAAGAAAGAAAGAAAGAAAGAAGGAAATTCGAACACAGGCTACCACTGAGATGAACCTTGAGGACATTACCCTCAGTGAAGCAAGCCAGTCACAAAAAGACAAACACTGTATGAGGCCACTTATAGGAGGTGCCCGGGCTAGCCAAAGTGATGAGATTGAAAGTGGAATGCCGGTGGGGCACCCGGCCGGCTTGGTGGGCGGGGCATGCCACTCCCAATCTTGGGGTTGTGAGTTCGAGCCCCATGTTGGGCCCAAAGCTCACTAAAAAAAAAAAAAAAAAAAATAGAACGGTGGCTGCTGGGGGCTGGGAGGAGGGGGAATGAGGAATCATTGTTATTGTTTCTAGAGCTTTCATTTTACAAGATGAAGACAGTTGCATGGATGGTGGTGGTGATGGTTGCACGACACTGAATGAACTCGATGCTACTCAACTGCACACTTAAAAATGATGAAGATGGGGGCGCCTGGGTGGCTCAGTCGTTAAGCATCTGCCTTCGGCTCAGGTCATGATCCCGGGGTCCTGGGATCGAGCCCCGCATCGGGCTCCCTGCTCGGCGGGAAGCCTGCTTCTCCCTCTCCCACTCCCCCTGCCTGTGTTCCTCCTCTCGCTATGTCTCTCTCTGTCAAATAAATAAATAATATATAAAAATAAATAAATAAATAAATAAATAAAAATAATGAAGATGATATGTCAAGACTCATCCAACAGGTCACTTAAGATTCGTGCATTTCACTGAATATAAAATATAAAGGGATAATAAACTTACATCTTTATTCTTCACCTATTTGCAATTCAGCACGTGAGGGGCAGCTCTTTCTAGAGCCCCCGTGGGCCCCTGCCCTGGCCACTGTCGCTACTTCGGTCACCTCCTTCCTCCTCACTGGGCTTCCAGCTCTGCCCTCAACCTCCCCCCCGCCCCCCGCAGCCTGTGAAAACCGAATTCGGATCACGGACCCTCTGCTCAGAACCTCCCATGGCTCCCAACTCACTCAGACTGAAGCCAAAGCCCATCCTTTCCGAAGCCCACAAGCCTCCCAAACCGCCCTGACCTCACCTCATTTCCTCCTCGCTCCACCTCTCATCTGGCCACACCCACCTCCTCCTCCTCCTCCTGCGCTTTTTCTCAACCACCAGGCGTTCCTCACGCTCTCTTCCCTCTGCCTGGGATGCTGTGCCACCAGCCGGCTGCCTGTCTCCCTCCCTCACCTCCCACCTGGGTGTTCAGATGTCACCTCAGAGAGGCCCTCCCTGACCACTATATAAAACAGCCAGCGCTCTTTTCCATATACACACGCACTCATCGGGACCCTCTCCCTCCGCGGATTTCAGGCCTGTACTCACCACCCCTTCGGTATCACGCAGCTCCCTGTGCGCCGTCTACCTCCCACCGGAATGCCAGCCCCAGGAGGGCAGGAAACTTCGTCTGGTTCCTGGCTGTCACGGAGCCCATGCCCAGCACCTCGGGGCTGACCGAACGCACCGATGATCGAGGACACTGCCTTCAGGGCCTTGGGGTGGGGGGTGTACGCGGAGGCTCTTGGCATCACTCCCATCTCCCCCAGAGGAATGGTAAAGGCTGGGCCTTGCTCCCAGCACAGCCCTGAGCAGAATGCTGCCCCCTCCCAGAGAGGGGCTGAGAGGCTTCCTTGCAGACAGCCGAGTTCCCAGCATTTCGCCGGGCCCCATCCCTAGGTGTGCCCCCCCACCCCCCAACTTCAGGCCAAGTCAGCCTTTCAGACTCTACTGCCGGCCTGGGTGAACTACAGGGAGTGACTACATCTTGGGAGGTACTTAAAGATGTTGGCCAGATATGGCTTTTCCATAGAGGGAGAGGGGAAAAGCACCCAATCCATAAACCCACTACCCAGGTCTCTATGAGCCTCTACTCCGGCACCTCAGTCACTCCCCTGTCCCCAAACGCCAGCTTCGCTTTTGGTCTCTTGTGCGTCTTCCCTCCCTGACCATTTCCGTTGACCTTTCAGAACACCTCGCAGGGGAGGGCGCTGAGCAGGAGAAAACTGAAAAACCTGCTTCTGTCTGAGGGGAGGGGAGGAAAGGGCCTTCCTCTTCCAGCTGCTTTTCAAAGCGAACTAACATTTTCAGATAAATTCATGTCACCAGTTACCTGTTTTCGAAACTTCTAGAAACCCCAAGATCTGCGGGAGAGCCTCTCGAGTTGGTGACAGGCCGCAGAGCAAAGAGGACACCTCAAAGGCATCTTCTGTCACGAAAAACTGACGATCCTTGCAGGACTGACAACAGCTCGTGCCAGGCTGGGAGTCTAGGACAGTGTGTTGTTCACTGGGGGGACCCTCTTCTCAAATAATCCGTGACCTCACCTATAAGAGCGTCAACAGATACTTAATTTGCTAACCTAATTTTGTAACATACATGTTTGCCTTTACCCATCATGGTGGCCATCTGTTAACACAATGAAGCCCTAATGGACCCGATTTTGAAACCGGGTGCTGGAGAGTCCCAGGCTTCCCTCACCTTGAGAGGCCAGCCCGCTCCTGGGTTTTGTTTTGCACAAACCCAAGGAAAAACCTCGAGATGCGCACGGATGATGCGGATCCGGAGGAAGAGCTGCAAACGGAAACCGGTTTCTTCTCCCCCCAGCCCCAGGCATCTTCAGTTAAGACTCATCCAGGTTTTTGAAATTAACTGTCACGTTTATTTTCAAGGCGGAATTACTAACAACATCTAACAACTGTTCACATTCTCGAGCACAAAAACTGAAGTCAGAAGACAGCCCCTGGACACATCAAAGGGCTGAAACTCCACGCGACGGTATTACTGAGCGTGAATACATGACGTGCTATCATACAGCTGAACGTCACAGCGTTAACAAGAGCGTGTGAATTACAAAGGGAAACTTCTTCCAGAGCGTTACAGCACGGGGCATGCGCGGGACGCAATCTCTTCCACTTGCAACCTCTCTTATCAGCCACACTTATAAGAAGTTCGGCTATATGCAAATAGATGGCAGAAACAACTCACTGGAGACCTGTACGAAATCAAGTTCACTTAGGAACACAAGGTAATATTCTGATCGTCTCCTCTGTGACGGGCTTGGCTTACGACATTCAAGTTCCAGCTTTTTTTTTTATAGACATGAAAAAAATAGATTCCGTTTACATCTTTGAGCATGCCTTGGGCCTCCCGGGACACTTTTTGAGAACCACTGGTGTTGGGTATCCTGCCCCCTCCCCGTACACACACACACACACACACACACACACACACAGGAAACATGGTATGCTAGTCTATTCGGAGAACAGAAATTAACAGCCAACTTTTTAAGAATTTTTTCCCTCTCTTATTATAACATGAGAAGTGTCTTCAGCCCCAAAGATGTGGAGTTTGGTAGTGCTGGATGGACTTGGGGCTGGGAAGCCAGAAGTGCTTGAGTCCTTCCCTACCAATCACCTTTCCTCCCCACAGGCTTCCTGAGAGCATCTGACCCCAAATGGGAGTCCAAGTACCATTTTTATTCACAGAACCTAAACCTCAAACACTTCAAAGCCTAAGCGCACACTCTTGTCCCCCAGAACTAACTCTTGGGGCCTTCCTGCCCTCTGGCTAGTTAACTGGAGGATGGAAGCTGAAGAGCAGGAGGTGCAAGGCAGGCAGGTCTGCTTTGCAGATCTATGCTTAACTTCCTAGTAGGTGAAACAGAGAAGGTGGGAGAAAGGCCCTGCATGTAGAGGTCAGCTCACTCTCCAGGAAGCAGGGAATAAGGATGAAAGGCAGAACATGAACAGGCACCTGCCCATGTACGGAAGAGTGAATATTCTAGGATTTTCCCAGTCTGCTTAGCGATTCTCCAACCTCTGAAGGTGAGTCGAGGGGGAGAGGCAAAAGCAGGCCTGGCAGAGAAAAGAGCAGAGAGGTGCACCTCCCTCCCTTAACCTCTCCCACCTAAGAGCTCATGCATGGTTTTCCTCTGAGAGGCCCATCTCTCCAAACTGGGTCTCTAAGAGTCCAAAGTCATGGTTCATTCCTTAAGGAAAAAAACTTTGTTCCCCATTTGATACTTCGTCCTTGGTCTTCTTTCAACTCATAGGGTATGGGTGGTCCCCCGAATCAAAGCTTTCTGGGTTCTGTGGATAAATTAGAAGAGCTCACCAGGGAAGGAGATGTCATTTGGAATTTCTTTCTTACTTCCTTGGACCTTTTAAGTGTTTGAACATTTCTATCCCGCAACCAGGCTTCCAGAAAACTCCACCCTCAAAGCCATCGACCCTGACAAATGTTCTCACTCCCAACTATTCGATTCTTAACAAGGGAGCTAGGTCGGATGGAGTAGCAGAACGACTGGAGACTACCACAGTGACACTCAAGCAACAAAGGAGAGGTGAGGGGTTTGCTTTGCCACCTCCTGCCCATAGGTGTCCCCAAGGTTGGCCTTCAGGGGCTCCTAGGAGGGAGGTCAGGGCTCCCGCCCTCTAAAACCTCAACTGGTGTGTCATCCGCCTCCTCCACGGCCCTGGGGTCCTCCTCGCACACCACCTGACCTGCCACGCCCCCTAGTGCCTCTGCACCGACCTGCCGCTCTTGCTCGGGTTCCCCACTCATCCACTTGCCCTTGCCAGCACAACCCAAATGACTTCTGTTGTCATTCTGACCACTGGAGGCATGAGGAGAGCCTTTCGGCTTGGCCTTTGGGCCCCGAGACGTCGAGGCTGGCAACCCCACGGGCTGGGGGCCTCGAAGGGCCTTCTGAGCTGAGCCATCTCTTCTTGAGCCCAGCCCTTTCTTCCCCATCACCGGCTTCTTCTTGGCATCTTCTGAATCGACAAGGACGTACGAAACAGGGCCCAAGCTCACCTTCTTCTTCTTTCTCACAGGGGCAGGGCTCTTTGCCAAGGCCCAGCCCATGGCCTTCTTCTCTGGGGGGCCCTCCTGACCGCCATCTTGGTCTGACTGTGAAGCGACCCCAGGGCTCACAGCTTCTGACCGGGCATCATGGGATGGGCTGCTGGGAGCCTTCCAGGCACATTTCGCCACAGGCTTTTTCAAAGCCGACTCCTCCTGCTTCACACAGGGCTTTCTGTTGCTCCTGACGGATTCTGACACCTCCATATTTTCAGCACCATCAGCCTCAGGATCCTCCAAGGAGGCTGAGCTGTTGGAATGGTGGCCTTTGGGCTTCTTCCAGAGCACTGATTCCTGCTTAGTGTTTTTTTTCTGCTTCTTTCTCCTGGAGCGACTTTTAGCTCCAACCCGGCTAACCAGAGGTTTGGGAGGGTCACCTTTGTCTTCCAGGTCATTCCAGGTGTCGGGATTCTCCATCTTCAAAGCAGACCCTAGTTCTGCAGCCCCCCCTGGCTCCTTCTTGACCTTCCTCCACGCTGCTAAAGCTGAGATTGCTACTGCCTGGGCATCAACCACTTCCTGAGCCCTAGCTTCCTGGCGGCCGCGGATCTCGGCATCCATGTAGAAGATGATTTGCACCACTGCCCCCAGGAGCACCCCCAAAGCTTCTGCCCAGTTCTCTGGGGACTGATTCTGGGGCCGTGGGGGGTGGCTAAACTGGAGCAGGCGGACCACATCCTCCCAGGTACGCCCCTCGGCATCCAGGAATTCATTCAGATTTTTCAGAAACTCAGCATCCTGGGTGGGGTCTCTACAAACCACTCTCCAGACGCCCCCCCTTCCTGGGAATTCCCGGGGTATGGCCCTGAGATTCACACCCTCTCCGACCTCAATGAGGGCAGCTTTGGCATTCTCTTCCCTCAGAAAAATCTTATTGAGCACGAAGTATGGGCCCAGCGGGGAGAGGACCCCATTCAAAGTCTCCTCAATTTCTGCTTGACCACAGTCCTCTGGGATGCCCGTGACCAACAGGGACCTGTGGATGTCCACCTCCATCCCCCGGCACCAGTCCTCCAGAAGGTTCGTGGCCATGGTCGCGGACACCTGGCGGCTCTAATCCCACGTGCACTCAACAGTCTGTAAGATGGACGGTCCCCAGATATTAATCCTGTAAGGTGACAGGATAGGGAGGTCAGATTCCCCGGAAGACGGCCAGGCTCAGAGATCTCGGCTGCCCCCCGCGCGGCGGGCCTACAGGCGGCCTCGCGCTTCCCCAGGCCCCTCCTCCCCCAACCGGGCCCCGGGTGCTCACACGTGTCCTGCGACCCGCCGAGAACCGCGCTCGGCCCTGCCCCGGGCCCGGCCGGCGGCCGCCCAGCAGGGATCTGGCAGCCCCGCCCCCGGCCGCCGGGTCGGGTCGGGCAGAGGACAGGCCGCCGGGATGCAGCCGCTCGCCAGGCGCCTGCTCGGCCCACCCAGGCCGGCTGCTCCCGGCCGGAGGGGCCGAGAAGCCGGCGTCCGCTCCCGCCCGGGCCCCGGCGGGTCACGCGGCGTCTCGCGTCGATCCCCGCAGCTGCGCGGAGCCGAGGCCGGCGTCGCAGCGCGCGCTTGCGCACTTGCGTCCGCGCCGGTCCAGCGGTCGTCATGGCAACCGGCCATGGCTGCGGACGCGCCCTCCGGCCCGGGCGGGGGGTAGGGGGCGTTCAGCCGCTCACCGAGCAAAGGGTCTGCGCCTTCTCCGATTTTCCCTCCAGACGCACTCCTTCCACTCTTTTCAGTTCAGCGTGGGCCTCGGGGACCGGGGTGGAGTGCCCCGACTTCTATGATGACAACCACTTAGCCCTCCTAACCTCTCCCTTCCTGCTGGGTTCAGCCCACGGGACTCCTGGGAGCCACCAGGAACCTGAGGGCGAGAGGAAACAGCAGCTTTAATCCCCCCTGAGTTCCTCTAACAAAGCCGAAGCTCCTGACAGCTCTGTCATTCGGCCACAGTTACCCTGCTTCCAGAAATACCCAGGAGCTTCTGGAAACTCCCGCCTTCTGCCCCACGTGCCCTGCAAGTCTGGGCATAGTGCCTCACCTCTCCTTGGAGGCTTCCTCAACTTGCTGCCCACAGGCAACACCTTTGTTGGTGGTTAACGAAACACTTCTCAATGACTCAGTTTGAGTTGCTGTTTCCCGTCAGGACCTCACTGATGCACCTAACAATGCTGCTTACTGGCTGCACAGCCCCGGACACTTTGAGCTCTCCAAGCTCCTTCCTCTTCTTCCTAAAAGGAATACCGATAAAAACCGTCCTGATCAGCACTTTGAAGGTTCAGGGATATCACACAGGAAAGATGCAGCGAAGTACAATTTTGGCCTGAGTATTCAACCAAAATCTGTCATTTGGATTCCATTTTGGAATTGGGGCCTTTGCAAGACCAAATAGCCAAATGCGTGTTCAGCTGTCACCTCTAGCATCCCTGAACGTGGGCGTGATCAGTCCTTTGATTTTGCAATATGTGTGTGATTGCCCAAGTTCCCATGATATTTCATGGAAAAAAAAAAAAAAGACATGTCATTCAAATTGTTAAATCTGAATATCTCGTTCCAATAAACACTCTAGCTATAACTAGAGTTTAAAAATCTCATGTACTTTACCTGTGGAAATTCTATTAATCAGCTGAAGAATGAATGTGTATCATCATGCAGTGGTTTTAAAACACGGCTGTAAGTTTTTTGATATTCCTATCGAAAGGTGGTGATCTTTGTCCCTCTTATTGAATCTGAGCAGACTTGTAAATTCTTTAACCAATAGAGAGTGTGGTCAAAGGGAAATTATTGGGCCAAGAGCATCACGGAAGGGAATCTATGTGACTTCTCATGTTATAAAGGGCCATGCAACTTCTTCCTTGTTTACTGGGACCCTCTCATTCTTGGATCCCTGAGCTCCAAGTAAGAAGGTCAACTAGCCTCCGGCTGCCATGTTGTGAGGAAGCTCAAGCCAACTGGAGAAGCTACATGTGTGTGCGCCAATCAATAATTCCCAGCTGAGCCCAACCTTCAAATATCTTGGCCCAGGCATCAGACATGTGAGTGAGAAAACTTCTAGATGATTCTAGCTCCCAGCCATTTGACTCACTCCCCAACCATTTACATCTTCCCAGTTGAGGCCCAGCCATCATGTAGTGGAAACAAACCATCACAGCTGTCCCCTGTGTGAATTTCTGACCCACAGAATCAATGAATGTAACAAAACGATTGTCTACACCGCTAAGTCTTGGGGTTGCCTATTAGGCAGCAAGAGATCATTGGAAGATCCTGCAAAGGTGAAATGCAGCGAGGATCAATGATGATTGATACAGCATTACTACAAAAGAAAAGAAAGCAACAACCTTTTAAGTCTGCTCCCCAAAAAAGATTCCCCCAAATGGCTTTTTCAAGCAGTGCACAAAGACGTGCTTTCATGGGATTTCAGTTCCATGGGATTGTTTCAGTGAAATAGCATCATCACCATCAACCAGATCTTCCAGCTTGTGAGTTGAAGAGGAAATAAATTTTCTACTGTAGTCAGTTACTTTTAGCAAAGAAGGAAATCTTGATAGTTTGGTGACATGTCACCATCAACAATGCTGGTCAAAAATGTCTTGTTCCGGGGTGTCTGGGTGGCTCAGTCGTTAAGCGTCTGCCTTCGGCTCAGGTCATGATCCCAGGGTCTTGGGATCAAGCCCTGCATCGGGCTCCCTGCTCAGTGGGGTACCTGCTTCTCCCTCTCCCTCTGCCTGCTACTCCACCTGCTTGTGCTCTCTCTCTGTCAAATAAATAAATAAATAATCTTTTTAAAAAAATGTCTTGTTCCTTCATCAGCCATTTAGTATCATAAATGGGCAGGAGAGAGACCAGAGGACTCAGCTAGTAGCCATCTGTGCTACAAAATTACACGGTGACTACATTTTGAAAAAATAAAATTGTGACATAAATTGAAAGGTTTTCATAACATTTCAGATTTATTCCTATATTCCCTAAAGTTTATTCTATAATGGCGATGTTTGCCTGTGACCAAATACTCAGCCATTCAATATTTTGTCAAAATGTGTATTTGGTCCTGACACATAGCCAGCTCTTTTTATTATTGTAACAGCAGGAGTCCCAAAGGGCATTCCCACTGTTGAGCAGACTTCTTTTATGCTCTCTCCAGTGACCTGGAGTTTGTTCTGGGATGGTTGAACCGATGGGTCCTGGAAAGTAGCAAGAGGGTATGACTTAACTGCTACCAAATGGGATGTTCTCTTTAGAAAATTCTGGCAACTCGTACTGAAGTCTAGCGCTAGCACAGGGAGCTGTTTTAAATTTGTTGATTGAGAATAGCTCAATTGAGAAAGCATAAAAACACCCAGCGTTGATGAGGAAAAAAGCAGCTAGAACTCTCATACAGGTACATGGCTGGTGACAGTGTAAATTTTGGAAAACTCTTTAGCTGTATCTACTAAAGCAAAACGTATGAAAACTCCACACCTTAGATGTATATACTCAACAGAAATGTGTTCACTAAAAGCCATGGGTGAGGATATTCACTGCAACACGATTCATGATAGCTGTAATCTCGAAGCTACCGAAATACCAATCAACAGAAGAATGGGGGCGCCTGGGTGGCTCAGTCGTTAAGCGTCTGCCTTTGGCTCAGGTCATGATCCCAGAGTCCTGGGATCGAGCCCCGCATCGGGCTCCCTGCTCCGCGGGAAGCCTGCTTCTCCCTCTCCCACTTCCCCTGCTTGCGTTCCCTCTCTCGCTGTGTCTCTCTCTGTCAAATAAATAAATAAAAAATCTTTAAAAAAAAAACAAAAAAACCAGAAGAATGGATAATTGTGGCATGTTCACCCAATAAAATACTACTCGAATAGAAAGAATGAGCTCCAACTACACACAACAGTGTAGACGAATCTTGCAACTATGATGTTAAGCCAAAGAAACCAGACACAAGAGCATGTACGGTATGATCCCATTTATTATATGAAGTACAGAAGGCAAAATCAATCTATGCTATTAGAAGTCGGGACAGTGGTTTCCTGTGGAATGTCTTAATGACTTGAACTGTGGGACTCCCAGGGGGAGGGAGAGCTGGTGATGCTCTCTTTCTCTTTGTGGGTATTGGTTATGGGTGTGTTCAGACTATGAAAATTCAGCATGCTGTATGCCCATGACATGCACATTTTTGGGTAAATAATGTATACTGCAGTAATAGGCTTTACTGTTCTGCTGATGGGTTGGATGTGAAGTGCAAGAGTAACCGAGAAAGAATGACTCCTGAAATTTTTGGTATGAGCAACTAGAAGGAGAGTGATGCCATTGTTTTTTGCCTGGAGAAGGTTGGATGGAGAAAGCATTTGTGGTGGAGGGGAGAGGGCGAATCACAAGTTTAGTTTGGGCCATGTTGAGTTTAAGATGTTGGGTTGAGGGTCCCCAAGACCACGCTCAGGTTCAGTGGTTTCCTAGGATGTATGGAACTCAGAAGAGTTATTGTACTCACAGTTATAGTTTATTACAGCAAATGAAAAAGAGTAGATAGGACAGAGTCCAGAAGAGACCAGGCATGAACTTCAAGTTGTCTCTCCTGGTGGAGTCATGTGAACAGCATTGACTTTTTCCGGCAACAATGGGTGACAACACACACAGAGTGTTGCCAACAGGGCAGCTCACCTGAGCCTCAGTGTGCACGATTTTTATTTCTGGGTCAATCACATAGGCGTGGAGCACCTGTGTAGCTGAGCTTACTCAGCCTCCAGCTACTCCAGAGGTCAAAGTGATAGTGCATGGCCCAAGGCCCCCACCATGAATGGTGTTGTTAGTATAGAATTCTCCAAGGCCTTAGAGGTTAACTAGGAGCCCGTCAAGAGCCAGTTGTTTCCTTGGGATGTGCAGGTTTGGACAACCCAGGCCTGCTGAGTTAACCCTTTATTGCATGGATGCCCATGAGTGTATCAATCAGGGATCGATCAGAGAAGCAGATTGCTAAGTGTTCCAAAATACGTAAAAGATAAATAAATATTTAAGAGAGATTAAAATTTTTTAATTTGTTTTTAAATATCAAAAGGAATATATAAATACGTATTTGTAAATGTACAATGACATGTGTGTATATATATATGCATGTGTGTAATATATATGTGTGCACGTATGGGTGGGTGGGTGAGCGTGAGTGTGTGCGTGGGTGTTAAATGGAATCTGCTACCTGCTCCCTCTCCTGTCAAGGAGCCACCCTGATTACCAGCAGATCTAAAAATAGTTTTGGAGGGCGCCTGGGTGGCTCAGTCGGTTAAGCGACTGCCTTCGGCTCAGGTCATGATCCTGGAGTCCCGGGATCGAGTCCCGCATCGGGCTCCCTGCTCGGCGGGGGGTCTGCTTCTCCCTCTGACCCTCCCCCCTCTCATTCTCTCTCTCTCAAATAAATAAATAAATAAATCTTAAAAAAAAAATAAAAATAGTTTTGGAAGACTCTTGATGGAAGTCAGTGCTGTGGTTTCCATGACAGCACATCCCCGCAGCCCCAACCCTTCTACCCATCTCTGCACTTCCAGTCTGGGGTCACCTTTCCA